ACTGCGTTCGCAAGCGTCGGATGGCGCGCTGGTTGCCGGCCATGTCCTTGCCGCGGTTCTTGCGCCTCAGGCCACAGCAATTGATCAAACAAATAGAAACCTGCCCAGCACCGAATTTGTCGGAGTCGCTAACTGTGCCCCATCAACACACAAATACAGCCTCTAAAAGCCTCCACGTTGAAGGGCAGGTCGCTTGAAGTCTTGGATGCAGAAGTCCACCACGCGGTTGTCGAAGTCCTCGCCACCCAGGTGGGTGTCGCCCGCCGTGGCCTCTGCAAGAGCAAACCATGTCGACGCTGCACATACAGTGCCGCACTGCGGTTTGCGGATCCCCAAGCATCCCTTCTTGAAATTCTGAAAGGGCTCGGAATGCTTACAAGAACTTACAAGTACCCTTACCCTGCCCAAGACTCCCATCCTCGCCAAAGCTTACCGGATCCTACCGGCCTTCACCTCGAAGATACCATCCTCGATGGTCAGGAGCGAGACATCGAAAGTGCCTCCTCCCATGTCCTCCAGCCGTGTGGGTGAGCAAGAAGTTATGGCTTACGGCTTTTAGGACCTACAGTTTTGGCTTGACGCATCGAAGCAAAGCCTATGTACGGAGCAAGTACTTATCAGGACAAAATACACGCGCTGAAGGCTGGAAGTTCTACAGATTCTACTGCCAAGCGTCGTAGATGAGGACGTTGCGCTCTCCGGATCCCTTCCTCGGTCAATGGCTTCACCAAGTTCAATCAAAGCAGAATGGGCGCTTGAGACTCACAGTAACAGAGCATGCTGGACTACACACCCGCGCAATCTCACACAGTTCACAAGGTTTGTCAACCACTTTGAAGGCAAGCTTCTTGTCGAGGCCGTATGCCTAAGCTCATCACCGCTTACAGTCTCAGAGTCTTTGCTGATTCTGGATGGTTCGTGTCACGTCACAGCGACCATCACAAGCGTCAGCATGCAAAATGTTTCTTGCCTTTCTAGGGGAAGGATATGCAGGTATAAAGCGAGGCTACGATCGCCGCTGCGGTCGGCTCGTTGATGATGCGCAAAACGTTCATGCCCGAGATTGTTCCTGCTTCAGATTCTGACGGTTGCAGACAGCTTTTACCGAATGTACCTGCTCCTTGACGACTGACATCCGTACGTATCGTATGTAACAACCTTGAACCGAGTTTCGGGAAACCGAAATCAAGTACATGCGCCATGCCCATTGACACTTTGCATGAATGCCAGAGTACTCGAACAGGTGATGCGCTGCTCAACCCTCGTGCCTGCATCCTTGGTGGCCTGCCGCTGCGAGTCGTTGAAGTATGCGGGCACCTTGACAAGAAACCCACTAGATGTGTACTGTAGGAATGGCAAAGCACCTTGCTTCGAACATCACCCCAACATGACTGATGAGTTGACAAAAGGATG